GAGGCCCTGGGTTTGATTCCTCAGCACCACATAAGCAAAAAGAAAAAAAGCCAGAAGTGGCGCTGTGGCTCAAGTGGTAGAGCGCTAGCCTTGAGCTGATGAGCTGAGGGACAGCGCCCAGGCACAGAGTTCAGGCCCCATGACTGGACCCCCCGGCCCCCCCCAAAAGAAGTAGAGGGTTCTTAAAATTGGGCATTGTCTTAAGCATTTAAATAAAGCTACATCTAAAATATCTCAGATCCATATATATATAATCTATCTATCTAAACATTGTTGATATATGACAGTGAATAAAGAATGAAAGGCTTCTTAAGATCAACACTTCAGAACTTCAATACTTTCTTGAAGGTTTTGGTATCCTTCAGCTCAAGAAAATCAGTGCATCTCATATGGAGAAGAAAATTGGAGAAAGTAAAAAGTAAATGTGTAAAAGTTTCAAGGGGAAGACAGATACTTTGGAAATCCTCCAGATTTCTGATAACTATTTCACTGTCTAGAAAAAGCCATACCTGTGAGACTGTTGATTTGTTCGATAATCTTGATATCACCTGAAACAACAAACAAAAGTTTTAGCAATCATTGAAGCCTCTTTGGTCCAAGTGAAATGAAGGGGGCAATGGAAAGAGAAAAATCATCATGAAGCATTTGTTTGTGAAGGTGACATAAGCTAAAAAAGAGAAAGAGAATAAAAAAAACCTCTGAAAGACGTTGAAAACATCTCCCTGATCCTACCTTCTAGAACAACGATTAACCAGTATGTGTAATAAAAAGAAAAGGTTGAATGTTTACCACAGAAGGTCATATTACAGAATAATCATATTTTCCATCTTGATGCTTCTTTTTCTCTCTTTTAGTTTTATTCTTCTATACACTTATCACTAAATTCTCTCATCCTCCCTAATCTTTCCCTTTGGCTCTGTGAAATCAACATTCATGGAATCTTACTTAATGTTGTTACTTTTTATTTACCTAACTCTACCTCTTGCTTGAATGCTGTGTGGGTATCTCGTTCTTCTTTTGTTTTATTCACTATGATGTTTCTTGTGGACTATGATAAGTATACTCGAGATCCTAATTCCCTCTTTAATTGGATCCAAGACCCCAGTTGATTGCAAAAAATAAAAATGTTGTCACTCAAATAGAGATATATGTTCAACTCTAAGATAGGTTTTAATTTCAGAGTTACTAAAATGTGTGTGGTAGGGAGATGGGTCTTAAGATCCTTTAAACTTGGATTGCAGGGCACATATTACATAACACCAAATTATAGGAGTATAGAAGAATATATTTAAAACATGTACTTCCCATGATATGCAAAGCAGCTCTAGAAATTGTGACATATCCAGAAACATACCTCTGGGATTATCAACATTGCTTTGTTTCTTTTTGCCTAATTATGCATCTTTCAATTTAATGTGGTAATAGATGCTATAAATTAACATAATTTTATTCACATGTAAAAAATGTACTTGCAAATGATCTGCCTAGTGAGCCAGACATACTTGGCAATTCTGTCACCCTCTCATCATTTTTTTCTCCCCAAGATGATCAGGGAATCTATCTGATATTATTTATATGAATGCCAGCATCATTATTGCTGTGCAAATATATGTTTCATCAATGCTTAATCTTATCAGCGCAGTCAACCCATTCCACATCTGCTTAGTTGCCTGAACATGCATTAAGCAGAAGCCTTGTAGACATAAGTTTTGTAATAAGTCCCTAAACAGTGACAAATGAGACAGCTGAATAATTAAAAACGTGAAAAAAGAACAAGCAAAGTGATGGTGCTCTTGCTACCTTGGTGACACAAAAATATGTTTTCCAAAGAGTTTCGGTTGCTGCTTGGAGCTCAGTTGTAGAGAAGGAACAATGGGTTTGAGACAACCTGACAACTCGGGGTCGGGGGTGGGGGTATAGAGAGAGGGTGCACTGACAGTTATCTGATTTGGATATGCTCCCTGATCTCTGCCTTACTACTAGTCTGTCAAGTTGCTGAGTCTCCATAGTTTTAGTATAGCAGTATTCCGCAATCATCTACATGCAGGTAAATCACTGAGGGATCTCCTTAAACCCCAGGTTATGATGCGGGAAGTCTGGGATGGGACTTGAGGTTGTCTATTTCCAGTGAGCTCCCAGGTAATATTGGTACTGCTTACAAGCTCTCACAAGGAATACATAGTTATTATCGCCTTATTTCCCATTAATTAGTTAGGCATTTATTGTGTGATAAGTAAATGATATCAAGTATAATGCCTGGTAAATGCTTTTCAGTAATTCTCATTGTGGTGAGAAAGGTTTGGTAAGCTCTTTTTCTTTTTCTTTTTGGAGGAAATAAAAGCCTAGACAGAGTTAAGTGACTTGCTGAAGATTGCAAGGGAGTAACTGACTAGGAGTAGGAAAATAGTTGGCTGTTATCAGGGTTAAAGGTAACTGCAGATTTAAAAATGACTGGTAAGATAGTCAAAGCAAATTAAATCTATGTCATACATACATCCATGCACATATGCACATACAAGAACATATGCAGACACAGTAAAAAATATATAGTATCCACATGTATTTATATGATTGGTAATTTTCCAGCTCTGAGTTCTCTGAATACTTTTATTTATATATAATATGAATCACTCATGTTTAAAATCTGTATCTTTATTCTAATAGATAATCTTTAAGGCTGATCAAAATTCAACAAAATGTAAGGAATGTTCATTTAATAGAATCCCAGTATTTTAAAGTTAGCTGTGACCCAAGAATATGTATTACAGTGTTCTACACCTCACTGATGAGAAAATGTTTTAAGGAGCTTTCTTAAAATAACAAAACCATATTCCAACTTGCTAACTCTTGTAAGTGAGTCGGGTCTTAGTAGCTGGTAGAGTAATGGGGTCTAGTCATCCAGAGGGTTTTTTTTTTAATTTAAAAATTTTTGCCAGTCCTGGGGTTTGAACTCTGGGTCTGAGTGCTATCTTTTCCTTTAACTTCTTTTGCACAAGGCTAGTGCTCTACACTTGAGCCAAAGCTGCACTTCTGGCTTTTTTTGGGTAGAAAATTGGAGATAAATGTCTCATGGCTTTTTTTTCCTGGGCTGGCTTCAAATTGTGATCCTCAGATCTCACCTCCTGAGTAGCTAGGATTGCAGGTGTGAGCCACCAGCACCTGAAGATCCAGAGTCTTTTAAAAAAAACTTTCCTATACCAGTTGGTCCAGAGTTTTTAAAGGTCTCCAGGTCCAAGATTGAAGTCAAAGTTTATCCAATTCCCTAACTTCAGAGAGAAGGAAACAGTAGCTGAAGGAGATGAGTCACCCTTCCCACATCATCCATAAAGTTTAAATAGTAGAAGCTCCAGAAGAAGCTTTGTGTCCTGACTCCTCCCAGGATTCTTCACACTGAACTAAATGTTTCTTGGACACTGCTATTTAGACAGAAAGACTAAATGCCTTGTCCACTATGAAACTGAAGCCTGGAATAAGGTTTGATGATTTCCAATCAAATAGACCCCAACTATCACACAATTAGGTTGCTTGAGCACTGCTTTAAATGTTTCTGGGGTTATGCACCTTCTGGAAACCTGAAAATGCATAGGCTTTCTCTTCTCAGAGAAACACATAGGTACAATCTTTGGATGGAAAACGCTGATTGAATCCTCTTGTTTCAGAAAGATTGGAAAGTTTTGGGAAGACATTTTTAGCCAATTTGAGTCCCTCTTACAGGAGATTTTTTTAAAAATTTAATTTTATTTGATTGCAAGGTCATGTACAGAGGGTTTAGAGTTACATAAGGATGGTACTGAGTACATTTCTTGTTGAATATTGTTACTCCCTCCCTTGTTTTCTCCCACTTTCCCTCCCCCAGGAGATTTTTTAAAATATCTTTTAGATGACAGGAAGACCATCTAGATATCACTAATGGAGGTTATTTTTATTAGTAGTCATATTTTTAATTTTTAACAAACTAGATCTAGATCTATAGAGGTTGAAAAACAGAAAGAAGATTAGGCATTAGGAATGGAAGTTGTTGCAGTAGCTTACAAGGGCTAAAGGTGGATAAATTGGGCCAACCCACTTGGACCTGTGACTTGAGCCCTTCAATCTGTCAGGACGGAAGAAGCCAAGAAAACACACCTTTGTTCAAGATTGTCCGACAGTACTGAGACCCTTGTTTACTCTATAGACTAGAAAAGAAACACATTCTCAGCTGCAGGAAGTTGGAAAGTTTGCACATAAGTTTTAAAAAAAATTCCTTCCCCACCTTCAATCCTAACTAACTAAATTGCTATTACTTTGTGGATCAAGTGGAAAGGTTCTTAAATCTACACGGAGAATCAGACAGAGGAGCAAACATTTTCTAATTACTTATGATATGTGCAACAAAAATTTAAAACGAATTCCTAAGATTTTTCTTTCACACTGTAGAGAGAAGTCATCAATATCCTATTTCTGACTTTTATTTTCAAATGGAAATTGAACATGCTAGGCACATGAATAGTAATTTAGGTGTGAAAAGTGTGATTATGTTCTCTAATGTTGTCCTTATTTTATTAAATTTTATTTCTCAAAGAACATTCATAGGGTCATATCTGATTTTCTATTTAGCTCATACTTTCCTAAAATTCTTAAATTCCCCAAATAGCAAGTTTTCTTGTTCTTGGCATTTTTACCAACCAGTTCTTTTTAGTTGGGAAGATAATTCTTTGTGTTCTATGAATTTCTTCCTTCATGTAATACCTCTGGATTCTGGCTGTAGGTGGTACGGCAGCGAAGTTTGGACCTTGATCTTTCATGGGATGTCAATTCTTCATCTTTA